TCCTCCTCCTTCTCTCCTCTCTCTTCCTCTTTCTTCTGTCTCCCCCCTTCCTTCCTCTCCTCCTCCTTCTCCTCCTCCCCCTTCATCTTCATCTTCTGCTCTTGTCGCCAGTTGAGAAGTAACTGAAGATAAAAAACGACAGGTTTTTCTCAGATGTACAAGTGTTTTATCACCACTTCCCTGCCTCTGGTTCTTTTGATCTTTGATTTTCATTTGCAGTTTTGTTTTGAGACTCTCCGCTCTCCCTTTTCTTTCACCTTGTTGATCCCATTCCCCTTGCTGTTGGTCTTCTTCGTCTCTTTTCTCTTGCTCTTTCCTTTCTCCATCCACTCTCTCATGCTCTTCTGCTTTTCTCTCTACTTTCTTTTGCTCTGTCCTCTCTGGATACACTTTCCCTTGCTCTTTGCCTTCTCCACCAAGTGGTTTCTCTTGCTCTTGCTCTTGCTCTTGGTCTTGGTCTTCTAGACCCATTTCCCCTCTCTCTTTCCTCTGCTGATCCCTTTTCCCTTGTTCTTTATCATCCACACCTATTTTCTCTAGTTCTTTACACTCTCCATTAATTTCCTCTTGCTCCTGGCCTTCTGGGTCCATTTTCCCTTGTTCATTAGTTTTTCCATCCATGTTCCCTTCCTGTTTCCCTTGTGAATCCGTTTTCCCTTGCTTTTTGCCATCATGATCCCATTTCTCTTGCTTTTTGCTTTCTCTGGCTGTTTGCTTCTTCTCATTACTTGGTTGATCCGTTTCCCCATCCTCTGCAAGAGTCAACGATAGGCCCTGTGAAAGTGTCTTATTTTCTTTCAAATCTTTGTCCTTTGGATGCAGTATATTTTCCTTGGCCAATGCTTTTATTTTATTCTCTTCTTTCTCTGGCATGTGTTCTTTTGTTTTTTGTGTAGACATTCTGATATTTCCCTCGGTGGACTCTCTACTCATTTTTCTCACCGCATCTGATGATTTCTGCTGTAGTAGTTCTAGAAGAGAACATCGTATCACTTCCATTATACAATGTGCTTTTTCCATCCCTGAATCCAATGTTACATGAGAAGGAGAAGGGACAGAAATAGTGGTATTGTCCACAGTTGGTTCATCTTTAATTTTTTGTAGTTCTTCTTCTTCTTGTTTGATGTCTAACTGAATGTTCTGTAAAACTGATTTGTTTTTCTTCAGAGTTATGATACTTTCCATTTTTTCACTCTCTTCTTTCTGCAAAATATGATCTATGGTATTTTTTATGCTGTAGCAGATAGCATCAGAAATAAACTTTTCATGTGCTATCTTTCCTCTCTGTGGTGACTCCTTGAGCTTTGGGTGAAGAAAAGAGGATCTTTCCTTTATTTGCAAAGCTTCCTCTCCTTTTTTTCTTGCAGAGCAAGGTGGAAAAGAAATGGAAGATTTCTCCTCAGTCTCAACTTGTTTATCTTCCTGTGTCTTTTTCTCTTTTTTCTCAACATTCATCTGTAATTCCTGTGGCACTGAGGATTGCTTTGTCATTGAAAACATTCTCTCAGAAGGCGTTATTTCTCCTGTTTGCATTCTATACTTCTTTGTTGTATATTTTGCTCTTTTTATACTGCTTAAATTATCATCGGTTGGCTCCTTACATGTTGCCTCTGACAATTCTTGGAGTGTCGGTGGTGGGAGACACAACTGTGCTACTCCTTGCTTCATTCTGACATCCCATTCCACCTGAGGCGAAGGAAGGATGGAATTCCAGGATTTGTTCTGAACTATACCTAGCTTACTTTTGTCTTTCTTCTTCGTGTCCTCTTGTTTTTTATTGTCCCACTCTGGTTTCCTTCCATGCAGTATTTGTTTAAATGGCGAGTTCTCACATTTCAGGGAGAAACATATGAGGTCCATTATATCTTTTATATCTACTATATTTTCTCCAGATTTCTCCCGCTTTTGCAGCAAACATGTTGGTTCCAATGCATTGCACAAAGTCTCTCTATCAGCTGGCTCTGCAGAGGAAACTCTTTTGACATTTGAGGACACCTGAGACTTTTGTTCCAAGAGACAGCTCCTTAGTATTCTTGGCTTATCTTTTCCTACTTCTGTTCTTGAATGCAAATTAACTTGTGATAGAGATGATAAAGAAGTGTAAGAGTCTGTCAGATTCCTCTCTGATTTACCTTTACCTTCTTGCACCTTGCTCTCTTGTTTTATACTGTGCAACAACAGAGGCAATTCCTTTCCACTGAGTACAGACAACAGTGAAGCGTTTTCTGCCTTCAAAGTAATGTTATGGTCCATTATTCCTTTCATTTCCCATGGTTTTCTTCTGTCCTTTTCTTCATGTGACATATGTCGTATGGTTCTTTTCACATTATTTGAGAAAAGCCCATCGATGGTGTCTTTATGCAATTTGAAGTGAGGTAAAGAAGGGATGGGCTCATCAACTTTTGTCACAACCAAATCTACTTCACTCTTCCTATGCTTCATATTCATGATTTTTTCTTTTACATCCCACTGCAGTTTGAGTCTGTTGTTGACTGAGTTATCACAGTCAGGGGCATTGACTATTATACTTGGAGATTGGTCTCCTAGAATATGAGCTTTATTTGATGCTTTCTCTACCACACTGTTTGAAATTTTTGAATTCAAGATTGTTTTTGATGAGACTTGTTTCTTTGGAATTTCAACACTAGATTGATGTATGAGGCAAGAGGTAACAGATTTCAGAAAACGATTTTTGTTCTGTTTATAAATATTCACTTGCTTTGCCCTTAATATTTTCGAAAAGTCCACTTTCTGTCTACTTGATTTTAATGGACTATCAGTTAAACTTGATTGCTTTGTTCTCCGTGGCTGTACATTGAGATGTAAGGAGAAGATACCACTGTCTTGTAAGGCTTTCTGTGATTCTGTTGTTCTTTGTAGCTTCTCAAATGGGGATGAAGTCAGAATAGAATTTAAT